ACATCAAATTAAAAATAGAGTACGTTAGACAAGCTGGATATGCTGGGCTTCCATTCATTATTACTCAAGGTTTTTGACAGCTATTGCAATAATGAACCATCATCGGCTCAGAAACGAACCAGATACTCTGACACAATTATCACTTGACAATACACCGTTATGAGTTTCACTTACAGAGAAAACAACGCTTCATAAAGTTTCCTTCATCAAAACATACTTTCAGAACTTCAACACTTCTCTAAAACTTCTTCTTCATTGCAACTAAACTGCAAAAATAACTGAACATTAACACGTGACCGTACACATCCAACCTGTGGAAAATTGTTCTGTGAAAAATGTGTTACTCATTTAATATGCAAGGTGCGTTTGCATAGAAATCTTAACTGCATAGAAAAAAACTCTTTAATTGTAATGGTCAAAAAAAAAAATAGTGGAAAAATTATTTAATATGCAATGTGCATTTGCATAGAAATCTTAACTGCATAGAAAAAAACTCTTTAATTGTAATGGTCAAAAAAAAAATAGTGGAAAAATTATTTAATATGCAATGTGCATTTGCATAGAAATCTTAACTGCATAGAAGAAGAAGAAAAAAACTTCTTTCATTGTAATGGTCAAACAAAAAATAAAAAAGTGGAAAAATCCTACATGTTTTGACTAATGAATGTCCGTGATTATTCATGACCTTTTCCAATTGTTTTGTTATTACAGGATAAGGTTTTTAAAAATATTAAATAATTAATTAAATTAAAATTAATTATTTAAATAAATGCATTAGTATTTAATTAGTATTTAAATACAGTCATTTTAAATAAGCAGATGTAGATATAAATAAATTTATTTAAATAAATAAACATAAATTGTAATAAATAAATTTATTTAAATTAAAAATGGAATATAAATAGATATGAATAAATAATTAATTTAACATAATTAAAATAAATAAATGTAAATATATATAAATACATTTAAATATATGTAAATAAATACATGTGTTTCAAATAGATGCAATAAATAAATATAAATTAATACATCTAAATCTAAATACAGAAATGTAAATTTATATATAAATTTGAATAAATAAATAAAAGTGGGAAAAAATACTAAACTATGGCTTAATAATAACTTTTTTTTGTGCATAATTGCCTCATATAAATGATTTTCCCACATAAAATAGATTATACATAATATAATCTCTTTTTTTGCCGCTTTGCCCAATTTCTTCTTTAAAGCAGCAGCAGTTGTCAGTGTTAATTTGCTCTCATCAAGAGCTGATGTGTGATCCACGCTGTGAGACACTGTGAAAACTCCAAACATATTAATCAACACATTAATCACGGCAAAGCAGCGCTATATCTATTAGCATTATGTTTAGCGGTGTAAATTAAATATGGGACAAGCGAGACTTCATTAAATGGATCATTGCTTTAAGGTGACTGCTGATAATAGCTCTTGTAATGAATGGCTCCGCTCTGGCGTGCTGGAAGCGGTCCAGCTTGACTCTGCTCTGGACTCTCACAGGTATCTGCTGAAGCCCGATCAGATGGTCGACCCGTTCTCAGAGACGCCGGTGGATGGAGTGATCGTCCAGGTGTGATTTCACAGGGTTCCTGCGGTCATGGACAATCTGCACATATTTGAAAAACCTGTTTTCCAGGCTCACAAAAGGCGCAGACATTTCTACAGTGAATATACTGTATGTTTGTTAGTAAAACCTGCTTGCGATTTATGAGTGAGTTGTTCTTTTGAGTCGGTTCTTTTGAAGAATCGGTCAGTGGCTCTGAATGATTCATTAGTCAAGCTCTGTTTGTTTATTTATTTATTTCATTAAATGTTTTAGAATGTAATTCTCTAAATTAATTTAAATATATTTCTGCTTATTTAAATGTATTTATTTGTTTTTTATTAATTTATTTAAATTTCTACAAATTGATTTCTTTCAATGTATTTATTTAAATATATTAATGTTTTTTTATTTATTTAAATCTATTTAAAATAATTTATTTAAATTTATTTCTTTAAATTTATTATTTTAATCTATGGAAATCTAGTTAAATGTATTTATTTAAATCTATTTATTAAAAATGTATTTATTTAAATCTATTTAAAAGTATTTCTATATGTTTTCTTTAAATCTATTTAAATCTATTTATGTAAATCTATATAAATGTATTTATTTATATATATATTCAAAATTATTATTTAAATCTATTTAAAAGTATTTCTTTTATTTTTTCCTTTTAAATCTAATTCTTTAAATATATTATTTTAAATGGATTTAAAAGTGTTTCTTTGAATTTCTTTCTTTAAATGTATAATAATACTTTAAAGTATTATTTAAATCTACTTCTTTAAATGTAAAATTTAAATCTATTTAAAATCTATTTATTTAAATGTGTGTGTATATATATATATATATATATACAGTGGGTACGGAAAGTATTCAGACCCCCTTAAATTTTTCACTCTTTGTTATATTGCAGCCATTTGCTAAAATCATTTAAGTTAATTTTTTTTCCTCATTAATGTACACACAGCACCCCATATTGACAGAAAAACACAGAATTGTTGACATTTTTGCAGATTTATTAAAAAAGAAAAAACTGAAATATCACATGGTCCTAAGTATTCAGACCCTTTGCTCAGTATTTAGTAGAAGCACCCTTTTGATCGAATACAGCCATGAGTCTTTTTGGGAAAGACCCAACAAGT